TTTACCGTTTGCTTTAAATTAAAAAACTCAGCTAAACGCTTCAAATGATTCAAATTATGGTTGTCACGCCAATTAATATTAAAATCACCAGCCAATATATTTAATTTACTAGAATCAACGAATGGCTCGAGCCAGTTCTCTAAAACTTCAACTGGTCACTAGAACTGGGAGAATGATACAAAACACCATAATTACCCATCTTCATGCCACGTACAACTGTAATGCCCAAGAACCAGTTGCCATGAATAACTTCGTTGGTACGAAGGTTGAATTGAACTGATTCTTTGGCATAAATAGCAACACCGCCAGTGTGTCTAGAATGTGATAAACAAGCAGCAACAATTTATCTCGGAATACTATACTGATCAAAAGCTTCAGTTTCTACAATATGAGTTTCAGATAAGAAAACTAAAAGAGGACGTTTTTCCTCAACAATCTGACGTAATGCTACGTAGTTTGTTGACAACCCCGTAATATTCAAATACAAAAAAACGAATTGATTCACATTCCTGGAACTTGGCTGCTATTTATTGGAATGCAAACTGTTTTTAATCTGATCAAAAAGTCTTTTATAGAGCAAACATTTCGAGCTAAATGCGGCATGGTTGACGTCCAATTTCATTTTTCGTTCTTTATTCATTTTCAAACAAGTAGGGTAAATTATGGCTTCGGCACCCATTTACTGTTTTCGGCAACCGAAATTGAAACATTTATTTCACTGTATTTTCCCATCAAAACTCTTCGCTGAATGTATTAAGCCGATTCCTTACCTTTTCAGCTTAAATCTGATTACATTTTTACGACTGTGAATTCCTGTTATACCATATTTTTCTTTAAATGAAATATACATACTACAAAATACGACTGATTTCGAGTTACCGATAATAGAACATCTGTTTAACACGCAGTTCAAATGGAAAGGGTGCCGAAGAAAAAGAGACTGCCGACAATAGTCACTCTCACCTGAGAAGTTTGGAGTGTTGTAAAAACATGTTCAACCCGTTTTGATCAATTCTGTCGATTGGAATTGGTAGAACAGCAAGCAGCAGATAAATTTCAACAAACAAACCTGTCATGTATGTGTGTGACGCTGAGAAATCGCTAATAGAAGTTCGGACGCTGCTTAGATTGACGAGAATACGTAAATTCCCCTAATACATTTCAATACAGTTGACGTACACTCCGACCCAGACGAGTAAGAGAGGTGCCACAGTCGGAAGAAGTGTTAGTTTGTTTACTTAAATGAGCCAATGCCCATTTTGTTATGGTAAGTTTGCTATAAGAAATGCTCCTCGTGTTTATTAGCGAAATTCACATCAAAGATTGATTAATTGCGTATTAAATCAGTTTGGCACGTAGATTTTTCAAGGTTGATGGTAAATCGTTGTACAACTTGCTACCTATGTACGTAATTCTCTTACGTCCAAACTCTGTCCGTGGACGTACCAGGGCAAAGTTTCCCATCTGACGCGATGCTCTGGTGTGCTGCATTCTCCTTATAGCGTAGTTGTGATGTATAGTTTGATTTGTAGCAATCTTATGCATTTGTATCAAGATTTGGAATTCGTACAGTGATTTTACTGGTAAAATAGAGCTGCTCCGGCTGTCACTATACAATAGTCTTGTTGGATACAAAAATGGCTTCCGCAGTATAATCTTCACTCACCGATTTTGAATAACCTGGAGTTGTCGTAAATTGGATTTACTTGCACTTCCCCAATTTGCTATTAGGTATTGGAGTCTCGAATGAATCAGCGAAAAGTATATGTTTTTCAAGCATACAAGGGGCACAAAAGTTGAAATCTTCCACAAAATTCCGCATAAAGAGGTTGTTTTTTTCTTCAACGACTCAATGTGTGGCTTCCAACTCATAGACGAATCAATTACAAGGCCTAGAAACGGATAATCGGAAACTTCGTCTAACACCTGGCCTTGAATAACAAGTGGATCATGTGCTGGAATGCACCTCCTTGGTGAATGAATCAACATGTACTTCGTTTTTGTCAGGTTCAACGAAAGTACATTAGCCTTGAAGTACTCCATTAGCAAATTCACATCATGTTTGATGTTTTGTAAAATTGATTCACAATTCGATCCTTTGTAGATCAGCGAAGAGTCGAAGTTCTCCAATCAATCCTATTTTAGACAAATCGTTTATGAACAACAGAAACAAGACCGGCCCCAACACTTAACTTGTTATAAGTGAAGCGTGGATTTTCAAACATGTTCACTACTTTAAAAAAAAAATCTTATTATTGCAGGCAGCCTTTGGGGTCAGTCAAACAATCGCATCGTTCAACATTTTTATGAATTAAAATAAATTTTGCGAGGGTTCACTTTTACCCCTTAATCCCCTATAAAGTGTACCCCGTATTCCTCTAATATCTCATGAACTGTTGTTTAAAGACATAGTATTCTAAAACCATGCATAAAGTGCTTATGTTTTACGAAAAATAGAGCTGTGAAAAAAACATTTCCTCCAAAAAGTAGGGGAAAATGGGGGAAAATGTTCCAAAACACATACCTACAAGGCTTTCCGGTCTATGGGTTCCGGACGATTTCCCTTCGGAAAAGTCGTTTTTCATGGCCGGAATTCAGCGTGCTGTTGAGATATTGAATTTTGGGTAATTTTGGACCCATTTTTGCCCATAGTGCATCGGAGGAAAACTGATCGCTCATGCCCACTATTTTCAATCTTGGCACCGAGGTGGGAACAACAGCACTATATTTTTCACCCAGATTGCTTTCAATACCATTTTTCACATTTTGCTCCTGTTGCACACTCAACAATAATGGAGCCATCTTTACCATTCCTGAAATTACTGATTTTGTGTGTTTTTGGATCCAACTGAGTTTTCAAAAACTTACGAGTATCTTCGCAAGGTTGTTTGGACTCTTTCGGTTTAATCACAATGACCGGACGAGTCTTACGATTACTCTGTTTGTTACTGTTACTATTAATGTTACTGTTACTGTTAATTTTACTGTTACTGTTACTGTAACTAATATTTTTACTTTTATTTGCACGACTAGATCTTTTGACAACATCCGCAAAACTCGCATTTTCTTGAAAAACATCAGGTGACAATCGGATTGGACAATTTTTCATACGATATTTTCACCTTGATCCCCCCTTATCATAATCGGAGGTAAACATTTATCGTATGATATTTTCACCTTGGTCCCCATCATCTTCATAATTGGAGGTAAAAAAATTTCATATGAAAAAACAAACGTGCCTTTGAAAACGGTGATCCAGGTGTTCCTGGACAGTGGAAGGTGTAAAATGTTGCCAAGCTTTGCAGGCATGAATGAGTGCTTTGTGGTGGTTACAATCTATTCACCCGAAAAAAAATCACACGCCTTCAACACCGAATTTTATCAATTTATTTACTCACAGTCCCACCAGACTGTGAAGTCTGACAATAAGCCTGTTATGGAAATTTTCTCATCAACGTAAGTTTACACCGTTGCTCTAAAAATAATCCCTACCAGGTACGATCGCATAATCAAGCTTTCCACCATTCAGACGTTTTTCCATAGTCAGGATTATGCAAATCTCCTCCTGCTAGAAAATCAAATTAACCCCAATCCTCCCGTTCCCCAACCGTCTTCTTCTGTTTTGAGAACATGGGACCACAAAATCACTTCCCATTTACTCTCCAATCACATCTCTCGCCGCCGTTCCTTCCAAATTGACTCGGCCAGGGTATCGATAAATTCTAAATTAGCCGTTGTTACCAGCACGTTTCTTCCCAATCAAATGCTAAATAGCGTATCGCTTCAATGGACGCAGGAAGGAAGCGAAAAAATTAACATAAAATTTAATTTTCATCATTAACCGCTAGAATTTTACGGTTTTATTGCTGCCTTCGTTTACATTACTACCGTTTCCCTTCTCGTCGCGCACGCACACATTTTTTCCCTCATATTGAAAGAAACCACCACTTCTTGCTTTTTTATTCGACACCCGACGGCGTCTGATCGATGACCATTAGCGTGTAACGAAGCGTAGTTTTTCTTTCTGTTTCATCACCCGTCGTTGGGATGATTTTTTTTTTCTTCTGTGAAAAACCATCCATCGATCGTCGTCGTCATCGTTGCAACCTCAATAGTCAAGCGCTCTTGAAAGATACGACAGAATCAATAAAGCAGCAGTCGTTATTGCATTTGACAATTGGGTCAGCGTGCTAGATCCATCCAAGTAGCCATTGATTTGGGGTAAAAACTACCCCATCAGTGGCAGTGCCTACTTGGTCAATATTCAATAATTCCGACCGAACGATGCTCCTTCAATGGACATCACAGAACTGCTGGATTGATTGAAATTGTTTTTCTTTCCCCCTCCCCGGATCTGTGTTCTGGGGATTTTATGTTCCCACCTTCCCGGCCCCAGTCCAAGTAGGTTTAACGATGAGAAGGGGGATTATGAAAGTAAATAGAAAATAGATTTTCATTCGTTTCCACTCGCTTCTCCCCCTCGGCGAAACCGTGTCTAATAAATCCCATAACAAGTCGCCTCTTCGCTCCGGTGGAAGCCAGCGGGAATCGACTGACTTAGGTATAGCTACGCTTCTGCTGATTTAATGCGGTTGGTTGGTCGCTCGCTCGGCAGCACTGCAGTTCTCGAGAGGTTAATTGGAGGTGTTTGTTGTTACAACTTTGTGGTGGATTTTTTTTTTATTGCCTGCTCTTTCTCGCCTTTTTCCACGAAGTTGTAATCCGTTTATAGCTCGCCACCTATATAGTTGGCTGGCACCTCGCCGACTGCGATTGACCGAGGAGACCACACTCTTCGACAGTTCCTCGCTCCCAATCGTTATTAGTTTTTTACGACTTCTTTTGATCGATAAGTGGTACCTTGCTGCCACCACCTCATCGTGCGGCGTTTTATCGCCTTTAATGTTGGCTAAGTCGGGTTTAATCTGCTTTGATTGTGAAATGTATACACTTCAACGAATGCGAAGTGAGTGTGTGTGTGTGTGTGTGTGTTTACTTACCGAGTGTAGATCACTGCGGGTCAGTTTCTCCAGGTAGAGGACGTTCTTAACCGTCCCGTCCGGGAGGATCATGAAGGAGTCGTCCAGCAGGGCGTGCTCCTTCCACCAGGTCACCTTTGGCGTCGGGATGCCCCCGCTGGACACGCAGGTCAAATTGATATCGGCGTGTTCCTGGTAGGGGCCGACCATGCTGTCCAGAACTGCTGCTCCCCGCTCGTCCAGGATGGTCACCCTGGATGGAGGAACTGTAACGAGAGGAGAAGCATAGGAAATTGATGAAGAATTTCGACGATAAATGTGGGATGGATGGTCAATTTTAAATGAATACTTAAGTTACGTAAGGACGTTCAAGAGAAAGAGAAAAGCTTGAATGGAAATGGTTATGATGTGGAGGATTCCCTTCCTTTTTGAATTTTTGCCGAGTATGCTCATTTTAATTTTAATTAGATGATCGATCAATGAGGGAAAAACCGAATGGGTTCTTGTTGGGATTAAGCTTTCCGTAGCCAAGCTAAGTTAGTTAGTATAAAGAAAACTAAACTAACTAAGCTTGGCTACGGATAAGCCAATTGCACCCTCCAGAGAATCCTCCGAATCGTTGATTGAAATTAGGGTTGCCGGTACCGGATCCTTTCTGCGAGTGCGAGTATGTATAGTATCGAAAACGAATACCTCATTACTTTTCCATAATAGAGCAGTTCTACGTCAATTAACGGATTAACTTAGCAGAATTGTTTACTTTAGCGCGGTTTTCCTCCAAAAGTCGCTTTTTACGCAGTATGTTTTTAACGATTTCTCTATTTAACAACTTAATTCCAATCAAATTATCTGTTTTGGACCTTAGTGAAAAAATGACGCACATAAAACATCTTACAATGTTTTGTGTAAATCCAGAATTAAAATGAAAACTACTAAAATTACATAATCTAACATAATTCAAGCATTTAAAAATGTTTGTGCATTTAATTTATCAATCTTGGTTGGTCGATTTTTACGCGGTGCATATTAGGGTGGGTTAACTTCACAACCCCCTGTTTCCCACTGCTCTTTCAATGTGAATTAAGGTCCCCAAAAAGTGAGCAACATTTGAGCGAATTTTGTTATAATATTGATTCGAGAGTTTTAAATTTTGTATGAGAAAATGTATGAAAAAGAGAACGATCCTTTTAATTTGCCTACCAGAAATCCAAATATTGCTCAAATTTAACCATATCTTGGACGTACATTGAGAACTATATACAAAACAACTTTGTTGAAGACTGTAAATCGATTTGATCTTAGTAAAAAAAAGTTACTAATCATTCAGTTTAGACCAAGTAGGTATATAATAATAACTTTTTTCTCCGAAGTCTAATCGATTTCCAGTCTTGAACAAAGTTGTTCTGCATAGTATTTTTAATCTATTCGCGAGATTTGGTGAAATTTGAGCAATATTTGAATTTTTGGAAAGCAAATGAAAAGAATCGTTTTGAACCCCATACATAGTTTAAAGTTCTCCCCCAAATCCAGGTCATAACAAAATTCGTTTCAATTTGAGTAAGGGACCTTAATGAGTAAGGAACAGGGGGTTGTGATCTACCATACAAACTTAACCCACCCTAGTGCATATCCCTCGCGTTAAAACCCACTCCAGTGTACTCGTTCAGGCAAATTTATAACATCTTGAGCATTGATCAATTGTCAAGATCTTGGACTTCATATAAAGTTTTCAGATTCTAAATTAAAAAAAAAAAAAAAAACATATATAGCGAAGGAGCAAATTTTTAAAACTGGAGACTCTCAGACTTTGAAAAATTCTCAGGATCTTTGAAAGAGGTGGAGTATTTGCAGACCAAGGGCAAATTTTCATAATACCATATTTAGTTGATGTGATACTAAGAAATTTCCAGATTTTTTTTAGTTTGAAACAAATTTATACAATGAAATAATTTTTAAATTGGTTTTGAAAACCTGGAACTACAAAGATATTCAAAAATTGTGCGATTTAGGAGCTTGAGATGAAAGAAAATTCTACATCAGGTCATACCAGAATGCCTAGTCGGAGCCCGACGGAGCTTACAGAGTCGGAGTTAAAGTCGATGAAAAGTACCGTAAAGGTACTGGAGCGTCCCGAAATTTGATTCACGTGCAACGTTTTTGGCTCATAATCAATTCGATTGGCTTTGAGTGCCTGTCATGAAAATTAGCTTGAACCATATTGTATCAACAATATGATCCACTCTTTCGTTTTTTCTGAGGCATGACTTCCAGGCAACACGAGCGCCCTTGAGTCAAGAAAGGCAGCTAATATATCATAAAAACATTGCTTATAAGCTTCATCAAAGGAGTGAATCCAAACATGTTTTGTCAATCATATGCCAATCGGTGTCAGAGATTCGTTTACAATGTCTTTCTCTTGAAGTACACCGCAACAATAAAAAATAAATGTTTCTGAATTGCCACGCGATGGTAGAAAAAATAATAGAATTAATTCTGCGCTCAAGGAGTCGGGCTTGAGGATCACAAAGGAGTTGAAAACAACCTAAACCACCATCTGTGCAGTGCTGAAACGTTTGTCTGTTTCCCGGAAGGTGCAATCAAGGTGTCATGGCGGTACAGTGGACCATGAAGAACGTCATGAAGGCTTTCAAAGCGAATCCAGGACTTTCAGACGTGGATGTGGTCAACAAACTCGATACTGTTTGGAAAATCCGCATTCGGGAAGGTTTCTTCAATTATCGGGCTATTGAACAACCGAACCGGACCATGAAGCAAAACATTACGGCCAAAATGCGGGTCTGAGAGCTGTATGACCAGATGCTGACCAAATTCACCGGATGCATCCGTAACGTATGTCAAATTGGACTTCAAACAGCTTCTGGGACAGAAGTTTTATGTTGCCAGGGTGCGCGGAGATGTTCCCAAAAAATATAAATTAGTTTTTGCGGACAAGTTTGCCGATAACATACAGGACAGTTACACATCAACGAATGCCTGAAAAAAAAACGTGTATTGCCGTTCATTAGGTCCCACCGGGGCCCCCTCAGGTTTTGGCCAGAATTAACGAGTTGACACTACAGTAGTAATGCGCAACAGTGGTATTGCGATAATGGAGTAGACGTCATTGAGAAAGAGATGAACCCCTCAAACTGCCCCAATTTCCATCCAATCGAAATGGATGAGGTATCATCAAAGCTAAACTGAAGAAGAGTGGAAAAATTACTAATGATGCTATTTCAATGGCCAGATACTGAAAAAAAGCCGGTGAGGTTGACCAGCAGCTTGTGTGGAAGTTGATGGCACGTATCAATGATCAATGAATGATTTCTAAACTCCAAATTTTTTTTATAGCAAGTGTGTGGAAGCAACCCTGGAGAGGAATAAAAATCGCAAAACCCATATTGTATCTTTAAACTACATAACATTTTCTTCGATTCGATCACAGTAGGCCGCACTTGAAAGCTGACGTGTTTTTCTTTTGTTGCGTGTGTTTTCGTCAGCATATTTAACATTTTTTTCTTTAAATGAATTAATTTGCTTGCTGAAATTTTATTTCAAGCGTTCATAAAGTTATAATATCGTGTTTCGACTGTGTTGAGGCGTCCAGTTCGTTAATTCAGTAGTAGAGATTCGGAATGCAAGACAAGATTATCAAGGACAAAAGTTTACGAACCGACAGGAGCAGGTGACAAAAGACAGCGTGACAACAAACTACAAGCAAGAAGTTTGGCAAGTTTCCAGAAATGTGCAGTCAGTGGGGATCTTCGGCAGCCTGGAGTATGGAGATTTGAAAGAATTCCTCATGTGGAAGCGCAGAGGACTTCTCGGTTTCCTTCACGGCGAGTATCACGTCAACAGATTCCTTCCTATTTCCTTTTTAACCTACATTCGTACACGGCCGGCGCTGGTATTGCTAAACATTAGATCTCCAGTTTTTACACATTGAGTATGAATGTTAGTCCCAAACATCATCTAATCTAATCTGGCCACCTGAAACATGTTATTATACTCATGAAACCGACATCTTTTTCAACTTCCGCGGATTCTTCAAATTTATGCAAATATTCATAGACACCTGGAGAAAGTGCAAAGGCCTCAAAATCCAATATCAATCTGAGTAAGAAATTAACCAGTAATAGACCCCCATACGGTAGTAGAAAATACACAACTTAACAGCAGCAGTGACAATGTCGCACACTTCCAGGGTCAGTTGTTTATAAACAGTTGCTACCGCGTCGTCAGCGATGCGCGCTGGCTTAACTAGGTGCTTCGCGAAAGGTCAAAGTAAACATTGGTGAGTAAGCATCCTACATAGTCGTTCCTACCGCGAGGAGCATTAATTCTTGTTAAAAAAAACAGACACCGACTTTCCAAGAGAAAAACTATCTGTCTCGCTTTAAATGTACATACTGGAGAAAAACTATTGTGTAGAGTTTAAGTAACAAATTCATGTATAAAAGGTTTCGAATAATAAAGAATCGGGGCAGTTGTTCTGATGAGTTTATTATCCGAGGTTTGCTAGGTGCGGACGAGCACAGTTCCAACCTCAGGATAACAGATTCATCAAAGAGCTTTTTCCATACAGTAGAAATGGAATTGCACTGTCTTTCATTTCACGGAGAAAGAAAGACCACGCGAGTTGTTGCTCTACGTTGGGCACTTCAACACGGGAGTGAAATATGGATGCGCAACGGAGTATGGGCGCTTCAAAAGTATTGAAAAAATCTATTTTTTCATTCTTTAAAGGAAGTTAAAGTTGAGAAATTGTTGAATTCAAATAAAGGGGAAATGAATGTAATGTCGGCCTGAATTCCCCTAATTTGGGCCCATACATAAATTCAGCAATCGACTAAATTTTCAAAAGCGACCAAAAATAGCCATATTAGCGATGGACGTAATCTCAGATCAATAGGCCAACATTAGAACCATTTCCCCTACATTTATGAAAATCGATCAAAACATAACTTGAAACTAGCGATTTTAAATTTTATTCACTATCGCTGTTCACTGAGTTTATATTTCACGAATTCCGGGATGCTGAAGTCCACCGAAAAACGGAAGCTCTATTTGTGACCACTGACTCACATTATTTCGTATTTCGTTATAATTGGAAAGCATCCGTTTTTCAGTACCTGTCTCTCTCAATAATCATCATTTAATTTCCTTCTGCCAGCATACATTTTTGTGTTTTTCAAATAAACACCAACGTCCCGAAACTCATAATTCAAGATACCTCCAGACAGGTACGGGGAGATAAATAACGGCA